TTTTCGAGACAGGGTTTCTCTGTGTAGTTTTGGTGCCTGTCTTGGATCTCGCTCTGGAGGCCAGGCTGGCCTCGAACTCACAGAGATCTGCCTGGCTCTGCCTCCTGAGAGCTGGGATTAAAGGTGTGTGCCACCATCACCCAGCTGTGTTTTCTTTTTAACGGTATTCTTATTAATTCTTTGAGAATTTCATGCATTATATTCTTAACATAACCATCCTTCCTTCTCACCCTCTACTCCCCAACTGTTCAACTGTGAATTTTCTTCTTCTCCCCTACTCCATGAAGTCAGTCCAGTTTGTATTGCTCAACTAGTCTTGAGAATAGTGCACATTTAGATAACTTAAAATAAAAATATTTACCCATTTTAGTATATATATATATGTACATATATATACTAAAATGGGTAAATATTTTTATTTATATATATATTTCCAAATAGCATTACATAAGTACATAGAACAAAGTAGGTTTACAGCTTTAATTTAAAGGATCTTTCTGGATTTCTCAAAAGAATCCAATAGGCATTCAAAATGATAGCTTATCCTTCCCCATCGTATTTTTCCTATACTGAGAATCTCAGCCATATCCTAGATTCAGTATTAAGAACAAAGCTAAGACGAGTGTTATGAAGCCTGAAGAACAGAGAATGCACTGCACCAAATCTCTTGATTTACTTTGTGCATTAGAGAAAGCCAGACAGGTAAGGTTTCTGCCATCATCACGCTGAGCACAGGCCCCGGAAGGTAAGTGCTCAATAAATTCTTGTTCAGTCATTGAGGTTTTGATAGTTCGCTCAACAGAAGATTCCGTGTCTGAAATATGCACACAGCATCTCCAGAATTAGATCTGAGTATGTCTCAAGGAGATTCCTCCTGGCAACGCTGATGGTGATGTTGTACGAAGCTGGGATCGAATCACCCGCTTTTAGATTTTATTGTTATGAGAAACAGCAGGCCATGAGGCTGGCGAATGCACTTCCAGTGATTTCTTTTGGTGGCAAAAAGCATTTGTGGAGCTTAAAGCAGTTTGAGAAACCATTAATTCTGTCCCATTCACCCTTCAGATAGAGACACAGATCTGCAGAAAACATCACCCAGGACATGCAGAGAAAGCCAGGTAGGAGTCACTCTCTCTTTAGAAAGTAACTATGCTGCCTACGTGTAAATAACAAGGGATGGCAGAATATTATCAAACCTGGGGCTGAGCAGAACTTCCAGATACGGCTCATGATTCTTTGCTTCAGCACTTCCACTAATTGCTAAGCAGATGCCTGTAACACAATGCCTTAAAAATTAGAGTGCTTCTTGGTGTTTTGCATCAAATCACAATTTGCCATTCCACAGCTCCGCAGCAATAGTCTTAGCCTTGAATTACCAAGCAATAACCACTGCGCAGACCTCTCTTCCCTAGGACAGGCCTTCTAAACAACTCACACGGCCCTTAGGCTTTTCTCCCGAGTCCTTCAAAATTTCCCTGTGGCATCGTGCCCCTCTGTTTTGACAAAACTCTTTGTAGTAGAAGTTTGCCCTTGGATCTCTTAAAAGGCTTTCAGCCAAAGGCGACAGAAAACCAGCCTCAAGTTGGCTTAAAGTGAGTCTGAAATCTCCAGCCTCAGAGCAATTTAGACAGTTGAGTCGGGGTTCTGGGTCCACTTCCTGTGGTTTTCCCTTCTCTGCCTCTCTCTTTGCCTTCTTTCCCTCCAGACTGACTTCCCTCCTAGTCCTTGGATGCCTGCCAACAGCAATTAGTGCTGCCTGATTCCTCATTCAGCAAGAGAGGCAGGTTGCTTCCCATTAACTGCTGGCGTGGGTGGGGGAGGGGGAACAGTGACATGTACATCAATTGGCTGCTTCTGAACCAATCCCTAAAACCAGAGGCATGCCATGCACTGATAAGCTTAGGCCTGGACTAATTAAACCAATTAGAGAGCACAGGAAGATGGACTGTTTTTCTTTTTGAGTGGCCTTTGCTGCCCACAGTTTCCACTTGAAGTTAAGGTCAAATGGGGTCCACATATGAATTATTTATTGCTCATATTAAGGTAGGTGGAATGGATGTTGAGGAAAGGGATCCTTCTGTTCAGCATGAATTTGGATTGTGTGTAACAGTAGTGAGGAAGGGTCCTACTAGGGGACAAGCTCAGTGGTCAAGCTCAGTGAACTTTGAGGAATCCATCACTGCTATCGCCACTTCCCTCATACTGGACATGCTCCTCCGTTGATACGTTTACTGTGGTCTACCCTTTCCCGGGCTTGGGGAAGAGAGAAAGCTTTCAGTGCATAGTTAACAACGGGACCCAGCCTGTTTCCGATTCTGCTTTTATTACTTTGATATGAACTTTTTGAAACCCAAACATATTATTACATAACAAGTTGTAAAAGTCAAAACTGTCTATCATATCTGCTGCTGAATCTCAAAGGCCTATTTTTCAGGCTTTGGTCTAGCCACTAAAATTCTTCTGAATTCTGTTTCTTTCAGCGTATCTGCTTCCACTTTCCAGACTGGTGTCTCCTTGACCAGATTAGATTATAAAACGTAACTGAACCAGGGCTGAGGACAAAGCCCAGACACACTAAAAGAAGTATACCTGTCAGCTAATGTCAAATTAGAAACTGCAAGCCCTGCTGGACTCTGCCGGCCTCTATCAGCCAGTCAAATTTCTATCCTTCTCCACAAGGACACGTGAGTGATTCCATAAAAATCCTTACCTAGACAAGAATATTACCTCTCAACCTCCTGAAATTTCCCAGGCTACTCAACCTACAGAAAATTAAATAAGGCTAATTTAGTAGCAAAGCTTTTAGAGCACTTAGGCTGGATCCGGGAGCTAGTCTCATTATTTCCCAAGCACTCTCAATTTCTTGTTAGAGTAATCCATTCTAGAATGTATTAAAGATCAACATTGCTGATCTAATAGTTTCCAGAACTTACCATTTTGCCCTGTGAAAGAACTGGGGATTATTCACTCAGATCACATCGCCTGACAAAACTGCACTCCTCTGGGATTCTGCAGTTACTGCCAATCATTTGTGATTACATCTGTAAGTCCAATGGACACCTTGGAATGTGAGTTATCTGTGGCTGTAAACTTAAATTCATTTGAGATGCATAGGTGGTGTCTTGTGTCTTCTTTTTACGTTTTTGGGACCTCACATCTGATCATGTTTTTCTCTTCACTCTGATTTTGATGATAACTTTGCCATAGTGGCAAGGACAGATGTAAAATAGAAGCAGACTGATTCTTCTTTCTGCCTGAGATAGTTAATATTGATTGTCAACAGGATCTACAATCACCTAGGAGACCAGCCTTTGAGTATTTCTGTGAAGGGATGTCTAGACTGGGTTAATTGAAGTAGGAAAAACCACGTGAAAAGGGCTGGGATCCTGTACTGAAGGAAGAGTGAAGACTGGCTCAGCATCAGCATTCATTGCTCTCTGCGTCGGGACTGGGAATGCAGCATGACCAGCTGCCTCGGGTCTTGCTGCCATGCCGTCCTCGCCATGATGGACGGCACCTTCAAGCCATGGGCCAAATGAACCCCTCTTTCCCTTAGCAACTTTTGTCTCATATGTCGTCATGGCAATGAGAAAAGTAACTAACACTCTTCCTCCATTTGTGAGCCTGCCATCATCTCTACTGAGCAGGGGGATGACCCACTACACTGACATTTATCCAGCACACTGATAGTTGTGATTCCTCACCTTTGTACAAGTCTTTCTGTACGTCAAGAACACTTTCACCCTTTTTGTATTTAATGTTTATTCATCTGTCAGAGCTTAAGGATAGTCTTTGTAAGAAGCCTTCATTAGTACTCTAAGTTTTTATCTTACTCCTCCTGATAGCCTCTTGTTGGTGGGAGAGGGGTTAGTACTGTACTGTCTGCCAGGTAAGCATTCTGCATGCCCCACTGGGCTGTCAGCAGCTGGAGGGTAGAGACGTTTTCTTACGCTTCTCTGTGGAGAAATTCATGGTGGTTGATGCCACATGGTTGCTTAATTAATATTAATAATCATTGAGTGATTTAAATATATAACATTCTTTTCCTAAATTTAGCATTTTCCCCCAGTTTTCTCATATTTTTTTTACACAAAGATTCTTAATGCCACAGAACTTTCCTTGGTGGCTAAACCTTAATCTAAATAACAATGCTTCTGTAACTTTTTCTGGTAAAAAATAATCCAAGATGTTGACTTTTGGGGAAGCTCCTGTATTGGTTTCTTTCCCATTGTCCCAGGGCAGAGCACTGAGTTTCTCTGTAATGGAAATAATCACTTTCATGATTACAACTGCTTTACGAACTGCCTTGCCTGGAACCTAAACCTCACTCACATTCCCGCTCTTGCCGCACTGCACATTTTCCATCGCTTTCTGCTTGTGCTTTGCTCTCTTTTGCTGTAGACTTGGATGATAGCAGTAAGCAGTACCAGTGTCACAGCCTGAATGCTGTCCTGTCCTGAGAGATCCTCTGCCAGAGTAGCCAATTATTTCTTAATTCTAGCTCAGAAGTTGCTTTTTCCCCCCCACAGTGCTTTATCACAGCAATAGAAAAGTAACTAAACCAGCTTCCCATCCCGGTTTCTGACAGTCCTTCGCCTCTCTGAAACCTTATGTGTCAAGCTTTCACTGCCCACATTTCTCTTACATTTGTGTCTTCTCATTTCCCAGAATGGCGTGGGAAACTATGCTTACAGAGTTCTAGGGGTTATCTAGCCAAAAATTCCAAAGTCATCCACCTTCTTCCCACAATCTAATTCCAAGGGCCAACCCTGTGCTCAGGTACATCACAACATGGACCCCCACATCTCCATACTAATTTTCTATATTAGTTAATCTCCTTGTTGCTGGTCAATATCTGGCCAGAGCAAGCCAGGAAGGAAGAGGCTGTTTTGGATTGGAACAGTCCATTGTGGCAGGGAAGTTATGACACAGGAGCTTGAGAAGGCTGGTCACATTGTCACATTGTACCCTCAGTCAGGAAACAGAGAGCAAAGAATGCTCATGCTCAACTCACTCTCTCCTTTCTATTCAGTCCAGCACTTCCATTCATGTAATGGTGTTATGCAAATTTAGGGTGTGCCCTCCCATCTCAAAACCCAGTGCCTCTCACTGACTTGTCTGACGTTGTTCCCATTATGATACTAAGTCATATGACAACCACCACAACTCAAAATAATGCTTCTTTTAAAAATGAAAAAAAAAAACCTAATAACATACATATATATTTGATCAGAACACATGCTCATTATAAATTCTTTTTTGAGGCATGGGTAATATATTACTAGACATGCAAACTAGAGTGAGATGATCATTTTAGCAAAGGAAAAAAAATCAAATAAATTTCCTGTTTGCGGATGTTCTTTCATAATAAATGTATTTCAGTCCTTAACACTTCAGTATTTTGAAACCTGAAACATGCTTAACTCAATTGCACTTGGTAAAGTATACATAGTCTTTAGCTTTCCTACTTAACTAAGGGCATTTCTCACTGATATACTTTTCTTCAACAGTGAATATCCTTAATGTATTTTCTTCGTCACTTTTTCAGTAGTTTATTAAAAATTTAAGACTAATGGTAGCTTTAAAGTTTAAAAAAAACACAATGATATTTTAGATTTGTAAACGCATTTTGGAATGAATAAATCATGGAAATATTTTCAACACTAAAAGAATAGGGTCTTAAGTTTTTCATCTACACAGAGATGAGATGGCCCTGATCTCTAATGTTAAAACTTGGTTCACTCCAAGATGATTTTTGAAATGTCACTGTTTTCCTTTTGTTCCGCACTGGCTATGTGGTGACTGTCCTGATTAGTGACCACATTAAATGCACTGTGCTGGCATTTTTTCCCCAACTATTTTGGGCTGTGTTGACATAATTGATGACAAACTTTCCTGACCACAGTTTTAAATTGAACTAATCAGTCAAAGAGCATTTTATAAGCAACTGCAGTGACTGAGATACAGGAGTATCTGTTTTCTTGATTAGGAATTATTAGGAGCAAATTTGTTGCTGATTGATACAGCTGAAAGCTGCAGCACGAATAATGCTGTAGCATGCTGTAATCAAATGTAATGACAGATCCTATGATAGAAGACTTCAAAACAAATCATCTTTAATTTTTAAAATGTATTATTAGTGTGTTTATATTTTAATTTGTATGCAGCACACAAAGAGGAAGATTTCTGCATTACAATGCAACAATAATATAGCACCAGGTGGTGGAGAGGTGGCTCAGTGGTGAGGAGCATTTGCAGAGGACCTCAGTTTGATTCCCATCACTCATGTGGAACATCTTCTAGCTGCCTATAACTCTGACTCCCGGAGTATCCCACGCCTTCTTCTGGACTCTGAAGTCAACTCCATGTATCTGGTGCATATACACAACTCAGGCACATACACATAAGCTATTATAAATGAATAAACTCTATTATTATCAATATCCTATTCTCTAACTAAATATGATCTGTCATATTTACAATAAGCTATATGTTTGTATGCTATAGTAATTTTTATATGGCTTGAGTAGAATTAATAAATCCTTCTTTCATGTGCTAAGGCAGCCATGAATTACTCACACAAACTGAAGTAAATCACCAAATCTGTATGTTGAAATTTCTTTCTGTAAGAACTTATACACTCAAGCAGAGCACAGTAGCGTGTATACCTGTAATCACAACACTTGGAAAACAGAAACAGAAGGTCAGGAAGTGGGAGGCCAGCAAGACCACACAGAACACAATGAAGTACCCAGTAAGACTGTCTCAAAACAACAACAAATGTAGACTCACCAAAATTGTAATTTACAGTTCTCATAGAGAATCCTTGAATTGTTTTCAATATATTAATATATTAGGATAACCTTTGTACTTAACAATAAAAACTTTTTAGGTAAATACAGCTCCTTATACATGAAAAAAATTCAATAATGAATGAATTGGGTAAACATGGAAAGTCACTGAAAAAGTGAATGAAAGAGAAAATAAATAATGAGTTAAATCAGAATATATGTTTTGGTCTACACTAATGTATTCTTATAGTCTGATTTTCTTGATGATTTTCCCCCCACTTCAATGGCCTTTAACTATTTAAGAGTAAATTAAGTTACTTCTTAAGTGCAACTTGAGAAATACAGTATTTTTATTCCTCAAAGTAGGTCACAGATGTTAACAGAAATGAGCCTTAGAAACTATTATGATGTGAATGTGAGATGTACCTCAACACTTGGTCCCCAGCTTTTCACGTTGCTTGAGTTTGTGGGAACTATGGAAAGTGAAGGGAGGCCTAGACAGAGGAAGTAGGTTGTTTGTGAATAGACTTTGAGGCAAAAATTCAAAGAACTATAGAATGTAGTTGCAGACAGATCCTGCATGGAAACTTTGGAATAAGTTAATAGTTTGGAGTTCTGCAAGGCAAAGAAATAGAACAATTATACTCTTGCATCCGCTAGCATTGGTTAAGTGCTATTCAAAGAGGGAGTAGATTCCCAAGGTGTTTTAGATTCCTGCATAAGTGGACCAAAGATCTCCATAGAAAATGTAAAGAGAGACAGTACCAAATTGAGAATTTTCAGTTAAAACTGTTCTTCAATTTTTATTACACTTGTATCTCATCCGCTTTTGCCTGGACTTAACATTTCCATTCATACTTAAATGTTTTAGTAAATACTTTTAATTCTTGAAG